TGTGAATTCACGTATTTTCCCTATGACAAATAAAATACATACACACACATTCATACAAAACTAATCTTCACAAATCAACTATAGAAAAGTATACACAACAACAATTTGACATTAGTCATTACAAATATATGTGGTATTTATAAAATTATATTTGTAAAATCGCAGCGAAATTGAAATGATTAATTCCAACGTTTCGTTCGGCAATCTGGTCCGAACTTCTTCAGGGAAATTTAATCGAAATTAACATATATAAACCTCGGTGCTCAATTATTTTGCAACTATCCGGTCAAATCTTGATCACAGTTCATATGAATATATGTGATGACTGCTTACATAATTCTATTGGTGAAAATGTCCATGGTTAAATGACCACCAAATAAACTGACTTCAATTTATGTAAAAAAAAACATTTCGACTATATATTTTGATGATTAATAAAAATCCAAATAAATCTTCTGAAGAAACTGTGATTTACACAGCGAGACGTTCAGAAAACAGATCTTGTTTTGATTTTCTTAACAAGCTGGGATTAATTTAAATAATTTAACTGATTAAAAATGCCCATTAAATCACCATTATCTGTCTATCTGCCTTTTTTCAACATAGAACTTCGCATCGATGTGCAGCAGTTCAAGTCGCCACACTCCAACCTTGTAGCACACAAAGAAAGAGAAGAAAGTAGAAGAAATGCATAATAGAGACAGTAAACAGAGGTGTGAGACAAAGGAATAGTAATAACGAAGAACGATATAGTTTCATTGGAAATCATAAGTCACAAGGAGTGGGTGCATCTGCGCCAGCCATTGAGAACGATTTTGAGCCATATCACCAATTGTTTCCAACCACTGGTTTTTACCGTCCCGAGGACCCCAACCAGCCAAGAAGTCTACACCTTCCTACGTGGCTGGCTTAAACTAACTGTTGTGGATTTCATTGAATGATGAAGTCATGTTTTGGTTTGACCGCCACTAGCTCTTTTCCAGCCTGACCCTATGTCAGCTAACATTGCCCGTCAGTCGAGGAAGGCACAAGGTGTAATTTTTATCTCATAAACATTTTGATAACATTAATTATTGTACAAGTGAATCGATACCATCCGATCAAAAAATGTATCAACTCCTTATTTCAATCAAGACAATTTTGATTCTATTTTGTATTTCTTTAAATTCCCTCTATAAAAAAGTCCCGTTTATTTTTTTAAACCCACACTGAACGAGTTCAATGTTATCATACCTTATTCTGTAGCCTCATATGACAACTGATTTCCAGTTCTAATAATATTTTAAATGTTACATAGATAGATGCCTTGCAGTGTGTTTTACAGTTTCAATAAAAATTTAGTACATTACATCCCAGTTAGATAATAAAAAGATTCATGGAAATTCATGCTTCAAGTAAACCGGACGATTATGTAGTGTGCATTTGATTTTCTAAAGCAAATTCTAATAGTTACCAAGTAGGGAGGTAGGTATAGACTGTCTGTTTTTGAGTTCCTCGAAATCCTTGAGACTATTTTTATTGGTCACAAATGGCTTATAACCGTGTTCTCAATGGCAAAGACTCTTACTTACTCTTTGTAATAATCACCTTAGTAATCATCATCTAGTTCCTTTGAATCTTTGGTTTTATTTTTCCATCTCTGCTTCTCTTTGTATGCTTCATAGAAGTGTAGTAAAATTTGAACTGCTAGACTTTTGCGCAAAGTCCAATGTTGAAACCGAGAACGATTCAGTCAGTTTACTACTAACTGTTTATATTGGCAAAAAAAATCTTTTTTTCGATTATTTATTAATAATTAATAATGTTATGTCAATAGAATAGAACTTGTCTTCATTCTTGTTCGTTAGAAAACATAGATACACTTCATAATCATTTATATATATATATATAGTACTTTGATCAAACAATAAAATACCTCTGATATTAAACCCTTGAACATGTGAATAAATTTTCAATTGATCAGATGTTATATCGACAAGTAGGTTGAGTGTTTTATAAACCATATATTCAATCGCTTGCAGTTGATTAACACAAGTGGTTGTATTTGTAACTCGCTCAGAGTAGATGCAAATAGCACGAAACACAATATAAACCCACTGATGTGATCCAAACTTCGTATAGTAGACCACAGTCTTCACATCACATAGGATGACCTAAACTGTAACAAAATCAGCTGAAAGTGCACTACTTAACTTTACGTCATTCTTTAGAAAGTGTACGCTTGTACAACAGCATGCAAACATTTCAGTCTGCGAAATTCCTCTTAAATAAACTCCAGGAAGCAAGTTACCACCAATCAACTAACTAGCTATATGGCTTGCTTGCTCTGAGATTGGAGGTACTGGAGGTGCCTGGCTGTTAGAACTCAACGATCCAAAACATATACCTTTCATGTACCAAGAAGCTAAGAGCCCGCTAGAATGTTGAAACCGTTTGAAATAGATATAGCACACAAGTCAGCCACTTGTGTCAATCACTTCATTCGATATTATGCAAACCGAAAGATCCAACAGAAAAAGATGATAAAATTAATACCATTTACAAAACCAATTGTATGAACTGTAACAGACATTGCATCGGTCAAAGTGGGCGTCCCCTTTGAATCAGAATTCAGGAAGACAAATTAGCTGTGAAAAGATATGATATATATATTCCTGTTTCATATCAATGCATGTAGATAATTATGGGCATCAATTTGATTGGGATAATATCGAAATTTTTTAACAGAGGAAACACCAAAAGTGCCAGAAAATTCCTAGCAGCCTGGTACTCAAACGAGTATACGATTAACAAACATATTAATAAAGACCAACTCTACTAACCAATAAAAAGTAAGTAATGTGACGAAAAAGTTTAAAATCCAAGTCAATAAAAAATGATCAGTCAATACAGATGTAAAGGTGGTTACCAGGAGACGCAGTTCTATCACTGATGGAAAATTTAAATCATTTCACTTTATGCTAAAAATTGCACTGAAGATGTTGTCCAGAAGGACGACGATGATAACTGTGTATCCACTTACTCAGGCCAAATTAAGTGGAGACGGACTAATTGACTGAGTTTCAACATAGAATTCAGCACAGAAGTGAAGCAGTCACACTTGCCACGCCCATGTAGCCACACAAAAGTAAACAAAAGATACACGCAAAGAAAAACCCTCAGAAGGACTATAACAATCAAACATATGAGGCAGAAAGAATAATAAAACAGGAAAACACGACACTTTAGTGGATATGGATGATCACAGAGAATGAATTCATCTGCACCACTGAGAACGATTTTTAGCCATATCACCAACAGTTTCCAGCTACCAATTCTTAAAATCTCGAGGAGCCGAAATAGGCAGTATACATCTTTCTATATGGCTGGCTGTACCCAACTGTCAAAGACTTCACGGACTGATGATAGGTTTTAGTTTCACCCGCCCTGACCCTTTTCCAACTTTATGCTACGTTGAGAATGGCAATGGTTCGGCATGCGCAACATGTGCCCTAGCTATCATGATCTATCCGCCTTCACAACCTAATCTCTCTACCTAAGACTACGCTCAGAGTCAATATTACTGACTTTACTGTATCACTTAACGCAGGAGACAAAAAGCAGATACTTTCGATCAATGATAGCTAGTCACTTCTTTCAATGGTCATGTTTCACGGTCATAAGGGAGGACGGAGCCAAGTGCTACGCAGTCCATACATCTTTTAGTCAATAGCCAGATATCACATCTAAGGCACAGATGATGTAGGCTGGCAAATGCTGAGTTTTTAGGTCAATGTGCCAAATCTTACAGCTTTGGAGCGGTAATTGAAGGTGAAGCATTTACACCAATCAGACACAGCTCTAATCAATATCTAACTGGATGATATCTAGTTTATGAACACACAAATGATTTCATATGTCTAAAGGGAACAGATGCTTTAAACAGTGCCATCGTCAGGAATATCCTTGACACGACTCATCAGATGGACGTCAAAAAGTCGTTCAAAATTATCAATAGGCAAAAGAGTTCAATTCTCCTCAAGTTTGCTGAAGCCATTTCCATCAAGTGCCTGAAACCTGATTTATGTGTCCAGAAAGAAGCGGTTATCAGTCTTTCTTTGCTCTGGTAACTAGATATTTTTCATCTCTCTCTCACATGGATGCGAAATGCTGAAAAGTTTCCATTATGTATGATTATTATTGTTCGGAGTATTGCATATATATATTAGTGTATGCGTATATTGATCGGTTGATTTTTGTTTAAAATGAACTCTGTGCAAATATGTCAAAATTGTTTTTGTAGATATCTTTAATAATGTCTTTGACCTGTAAGCAGCTGACGAGTAGGCAACGAAATAAAAGATGGTACCACTTTATTCTGCTAAAACTGTAGTTCTTGCTTTGCTCACACACAAATGATTATTAAATGATAATGTAAATGTTTTTAAACGGTGAGAATTAGTAGGCATAAAATATTCGCAAATGCTTAACATTCGATGAAAAATCTTATCGTTCGTTATTTTATTAATGGAAGCATCTTTAAAATGGAAACTATTATACCACTGGGCTTGCCTCGAGACCTGGAAGTCCTGGCTTTTATCACCAGTGGAGTTATGGGTGCGTAGGTGGATGAATTCCACTTACAAAAAGTTGTCATTTGAAATTATGATAACAAGTGGTAACCGGTGAGGATGCTCAGTCTCCCCGTATTCGTTTAATTTTATCAATTAGTCAGTCACTACGGGTGTTTACTGTTAAGAAGACCCCCAAACTAGGAAGAAACACCTGTCCAGTACTGTCTGGTTTTCAGTGCTTCTCTAACTGATGTCAGCTTGTAGTCTAACTTGAAGTCAAACAAGTCCCTACAGACTAATACACTTGAAAAGTGAACTATAAGTGAAACTAAAGTAACAATCGCCTCATGGAATACATACGACTTTAAAATCACTTGATAATTATGGAAATAAAAACAAATTTGACTAAATTTAGCTTTATACACTGATACAGAGGGAGAGACTTACTGAGCATAATAGTTTTTAAGAAATATTTGAAAATTTGTTGATCCTGTATTCACTTGTGTTTTTAAACTATTAATCACATCGACTAATGATTGACAAGCTGATTTTTTTTCTTCATCACTTTCAAGATTTAAAAAATTGAAACTTAAATATAAGATAACACACATCCATAAAATAATAGCTGTAGTTATTATAGGATTTGAATGTGATATTTGTCTGAAACCTATAAAATTGAGGAGACGTGAAAATAGAAGGCGAAAAAATATATAAAAATTTACTTGTTGTCACCATTTTAAAGGCAGGATATACCGAGAAAAATTTATTGGCGTGTACCGAATTGTTGCAAATGGTTCTGGAATGAGAAAAACAAAAGGAACAATGTTATATATATATATATATATATATATATATATATATATATATATATATGGGGTGAGAGAGAGAAGTTAACGTGACTAAATCCATAGTGAATTTTCGTTTAATGTTAATTTGTATGCAACTGTAGTTCATTGGTAGGTGGCTCTCAAGTCATGCGAGAGATTCAGGCTGGATTCTCCGACAGCTACCCAAGCGATAGCTGCTGCCTTCAAGTAATGGGATCAAGTTTGCATATCCCAATGAATTAACGAGCTACACTGGTTGAAAACAATGCTTGTGTAGATTCTATCATGCCAGAAATTTCGTTTGTGAATAGAGGTTAGACTAGAAGCAGTTGCCATCATGGTGTAAGTCATCTGAACGATATTGAGGGTCTGGGAGAAGTCGTACTTTAGGGCGAATAGGGGTGTGACAGCGGTAAGGTTTTTTCCCTCAGATGACCAACATACCAGTTATGTTGCCTCCCCACTCTGGAAAGAGGAGTTAGGAAAGATCAGCTCCGAAAAACGTACGTCCTGACTTATCTTGCGGCGGTCCGTAAGTAGCAGCATAATGTCAGTGCGGACAAAAACCTGAAAACCACTTGTAAGTGGCTGTGTGTGACCAGCATTAAAGCAGTTGTTTCCTGTGCTCTTATATTAAAAAACATTAATTCTCTTTCTGTACACTCCAAGAAGAAGCCAACTTCCTTGGTGTGGGCAGTCAGGGAGTAATAACCACTTCCAGTATCTTACAAAGCTTTCCTCATCGCTCCTAAAAAAATACCTAATTGGTAGTAAGCCGAGAAAAGTTTGGATATTAAGGAGCATGCGGCTAGCAACCCACTCCATTGGAACACCGCCGCTACTGAAAATTCAGAATTTGAAGGACTACTTTCCATTTGGAATGCAAAAAAACCTCATATGGCGTAACAAGAAATTTTTTTCGTTTAACTTAGATATGCTAGCTACACAAAAAAGAGTCGAAAATTTTCAAGTTTAAACCAACTGGTTCTAATCGTCTAGTACCAGTGATAAATACTACAAATGTAAAAATTATACTCCAGACAGAAAGTTCCGAATAGCATTACAGTAGAAAAAAGACAATAAATGTTAGTCAACAAACAAATAAAAACGTAAACTTAATCAGCCTGAAAAATAATAAAGTTCATATGGAAGTGAAACTAGGCCAAGCGACCAATAACAAAAACGTTAGTGTGATTGTGTTCTCTGAGCTGGATGATTTAATTCCGAAACTTCTGTTGGCCTGGAGCTGGGTTCTCCATGAAGGATACAATTCTCCGGATGAACCTGCCTGTAACTGTCTTAAGAAATTTTGCTATCCTTGGGTTAAACTATATAAGTATCTGTCATTTCTTTGTATCACCAAGCTTAGAGGAACACAACCACCTCAAAAAGACCCACTTAGGCTACAAATCTCCACTACGTAAGATTAGTTTATTGTACAAAATCTACGTTGAAGATGTAACGTGAGACATTGTCAACATGAGTCATATAACTAATTTGCGGCAGTCCAAACTGATATAATTTAAAGTACCCAACAAAGAGATAATACATGTAATGCGACATAAAGAAATGAAAGTAACTCAATCAAATATTGGAGAATCTTTAAGAGATAACATAAATAAAGTCAAAAACAAAACAAAGGAATTTTAGAATGAAATTAAGTTATGGATCTATCTAAAACATTAATCTGTAGGAAGTTGCTCAAATCCCCACACTAACCAATTCCTCAGTTCATGATATTAAAAACTTCTTACGATCATCTTTCCACACTTTTTGAAATAAGCAATTAGGTACAGCCACTATGGCAAGCTTCAAATTTAAGACAAGACGTGGGAATAATAAAACAAGCTGCTCTATACTTGGTTGATTTTACTTCAAATGTTTGTTGAATAGTCGGTGAAGTTCAACAATAGCGTCCAAGGAGTGTGAACGCTTAAATGACCCTGAATATCAACGCTATTCACCAACTTATATATTCAAATTTCACCGAGATCACGTTTTTAAGTACCGTTTGGAAAATGTGTTGACAGCTCGTTAGGGTTAGGACCAGGGTTAGGTTTACGGTTAAGAGGAGGGTTGTAATTAGGGTTAGGATTAAGATAAGGGTTACGATTATGGATAGACTTAGAGTTGATGATATTTATTTTAATGTTTTCTTATCCACATTTTCTTGGTAAGTGGTCGTCGATCCTCTTGCTGGAAACCATAGTAATTTAGCCGAGGGCTTTGGGGAGGAGTGCAGGTCAGGATACGAGAGAAAAACGATTCAAAAAGCAGCTCATCTTTAGTCACTTCGGTGAATACATGTAAAGAAACTAGACTAACTTAGCAGTTAATATTCCTCATTATAACTGGGACGTATTTTTAAGTCATGCCGGAGAAAGGCAACTTGTTCAACATGTTTTCATACATTTTCTTGTACATATACATCGTTATTTGTGCGAAAATCCCTTATTTTATAATTGGTAGGTTGCTCGTGTTTGTATCCCTTGAACGCTACTTTTGGACTATTCCGAATAGTCTTCGTGATGCCATTATATAAATTCTGATAAGCAATCATAAAAAATTTGTTTCACATGCTTAAGCCAACAATAAATGTGAAACTTTAAAATCAATAAAACTCTACACTTTTAGTGAACTTACATTTGAAAGTAAAAGTATCTGACACCGACACCAAATTAAATGTCTATTTAACACTGTACGAAAGATAATATGGGTGTAAAAAGCTGACGTTTAACTGGATGAAAAAAGTGTATACACAACCTATAACCTCCAGTTAAATTCCCGCCTGAAAGGTTAGAAACCAATGAAACTGTAACCTTTGTTTTTATCCGGAGGTCATCTTCCATATTTGTAGGGTACATACAGAATACAATACATTTTCTACAAGATTCTTGGTTGTAAGAAAACAGTTTTTATTTCTAGTCGATCTTTTAGTACTTTGACTGGATGCTAGTAACTAGTGTGATGTGCCTAGTCCTTACTTTAGTGCAGACTGAATTCTATCAGTTAGGTTCGCAATGTGACCACCATTCTGGGTAGCTCGCCATCACGGTGAACATTGATTTTATGATATAGGTAGCTGGGGGGAACCAGCAGGAAGCCTTGATTGACCTAGGTTTCGTGGTGGTTGGTACTTATCAGCAAGGCATTTCTGCAACCTTGGAGGAACCCGTATCCCTTCTGAGATTCGAACCCGCGTCACCCAGTACTGTAGTGAGAGATGTAACCACTTGCCGATTCAGACTTGTGATTGACTTCCCGTAGGGCTGATTGGACACTAGTAATAACTACTACTTCCGTAGCTCTAGAGAACTCTGAGGGCAGTTGGAAATCTGGCAGCAACTTATGTACACACGAAATTTTTATTCGCTTCTCTCCAGAACAAGAAGTGTACTGCAAACAACTGCCTTGAAACCACTTCTGTCGGACGAGGGATGAGAAAAAGCTCGAAAAAGGGCTACAGACCAAGTGAAGTGGCAGCATCTTCGATGGCTAGACGTCAATTACACGCCTGCTCCAACAGCCATCTTCCTATCTATGGACTTAGAATGAAAGTCTCTCTGTCACTGACACCGGCAAGATTAAAAGAACACTAAGTTGTTTCTTCTCTTTGTGTATTTGGTTTGCTTAGATGAGTACGGTTTCAAGTGTTTGGCTGGCAAATAATGTCAGACAGGGTGTTTTATTCTAGGCTCAACATGAACCATGCCACTGACCTAGTAAAACTATTCCACCCACTCTAGTAGATTGTGATCGCAAAAGAAGCTCTTGAGAATAAATTGGTTTTTCACTGATCCATCGCCTTGCTTTCGATCCTCGATGGGTGATTTTAACTTGAGAACTGATCGATGATCGCGTTCTCATTCAGCTCTGCTGGAGTTCGGTTTTTCCATATAACGTTGTGGAAGTTATCCATTTTTTGAGAATAAAGATGGAGCTTTTAGTATTCAGAAGAAACTTACGACAACTATCTCTAAAGCTTTGGTGCTAGTGAAAAAACACTCAGGTGGTAGCCTATATCGTTGGTATCTCAGGAATAATTAACGTAGCCTAGTTTTCTGAACCCACTTTTCTAACAACAGTAAGAGAACCCTTTCGCCAACGTGCTCACAGTTCACTGTGTTGGACGATTATATATGTCCTTGAAGAAGCCATGGGGTCTGTAAATATAGTAGAAAAATTATACTGGTGACTCAGCATAATTCCACGGTAATATCTATAGTTGGCCTGCGAAATTTGGACTACCGATATCCATAATGGGCAAATTTTTGTTTTGATAAAGTCTCACACTGTTTCAAGCACAACGTCATCAGTAAACATTACTGTATAACACTGTGAGGCTTTATCAAAACAAAAATTTACCCATAATGGAACTACCGTTATCCACGCTGAAAATTTCATACTTGTACCAAAAATATGGTGTGCAATCAAGCTGTAATCAAAATAAAATTAAATTAAAAATTAATCCTTTGGAATCTTACCACTATAAGGTAAGAAAACTCTCAATACTCGTTATTTGACCGAACGGGGAAGATTCTACTACGGACATTGCACCTGAAACTGTGTCACTGGACTGCACTTTCTGCGTTGAAAATTTTTCGAAGGTGATGATATGAAAAGATTCACGAGTTGAAATGTCATGATTTGAAAGGTGTGATTCTTCTTGCTTTTTATTTTCCTTGAACAACATGCCATGTATAGTATTGCAGCACATCAGCGTGACTGGATGTGACTGATTTGTGGTGTGTATTATCGTTGCTGATCGCAGATAAGACATTCGAACATCTTTGTCTCAATTGGCTGTTAAATAAATCTGAAGCCCAATGCATACCTCTAACTGTCTTACAAGAATGGAACTCAATTCCGCACTGTTGGTTTTAACTATTAGGAATAATAGTACCTAACTAAGAACCATATCAGTCTCAGGTAGCGTTATTCAAATGCATAGACTTCCCAATTTTATAATTTCAGTGATATTTTTGGCTCAACATAGCTCGGAGGGCCTTTGGTTTTACTGGTGATTAAAATGCCTTATCGCTCAAACAGTCCAACCTACAGTAAGACTCAAATGTTAGTGAAAGCCATGGTATGGCTCATGGAAAAAGCCTATCAATGAAGAGGAATGTGACTTATGGTATCCAACGCCAAAAATAATTTGTATCAACTACTTCCGCCAGCACTAGACTAGACATCTGCTTACTAGCTAAAATTTCGCCTGTCCCACTAGTTTAACAATAAAGTCACAGGGCAGGATTTTTTACTTAAATTTATATTTCGGTTGCAAGAGTTACGTATCAATAAAATTAGAACAACGCCATATCATCCGCAAATGAACGGGCTGACTGAGAGAAATAACCGCACCCTGAAAGAGTGGCTGGTCATAACGGGCGTTAACTGGGAGGCAGAGCTTCCACTGATTCGGCTAGCACATCGTGCGTCCGCGCAGGAAACGGCAACGAAAGGACCGTTTCAGTGGATATATGGGAGGAAACCACGACCACCGATGCGTAACAAGACCTGGCCTTTCCACCAGCATTAAAGTATGACGAGATGGCGGACGGAGCGGAATAAAGCCATCAACAGCGTAAAACGGAGGCAGAAAGTGGACGCCAGGAAAGCCGAACAGAGAGCAAAGGGGAAGTACCTCGCATTTGAGGTCAAAGATAAAGTCAAATGTACAGATCGGCGAAACACCAGCGGATACGTGCCAGGGTCGGGAAAACTGCGGCCAAAGTAGAAAGGGCCACACACGGTCACCGTGAGAAGAGGTCACGTATATACCGTCAAAACTGCAAACAGAGAAGCGCGTGAACATCAGCGAGCTCAAGAAATGGATAGAGCGAGACAAGCCAACGAAGACGCCAGCACCAAGATCAACCTGACTTCAGTTCAAACTGTTCGACGGGGGTACGAATGTAATGAGAGCTGGTCGCTAGCCAAATTGGTAGACAGTAATTTAAGTCAATGTTTACGTCCCCAATATTGGTCATGAGAAGAAAAGAACAAGGACTGACTCAACAACCAATCACAGCAGGCTTTGAGTAGGTGGATGCAACTCGCAAATAGATTATCTGAGCTTGAAGAAATGGCCACAAAGAGATGAAAGATCAGAAGACCGTGTTTTTTTGCTAACAATAACCAATAATAATGTACATGAGAATCTATAAATATATGTTGATATCCCAAATAAACGATTTGTTGCCCGGCCCTTGTCTTCTGTCATTATAATTTTGCCTCCAGAAATCAATCTGTTCATTTGTCTCACAGAATAAACTGTGAGTAATTGGGCTTTCTGTGTTTTTGTGACAGGATAGTTAGAAAGACGGTGCTAATTCATAAGACGGTAGCCGGTGATCAAAAAGGCACTAGCTCTCCTTTTCCTGTGGACTTTCGTGTCGGCAATGTACCGCAATCACTACTCTCCGTAAAGTGCTTCGACCGTCATCCGAGTACTGCTTCCCCTTTATAGTTTGCCACAGTCTTCGAGGTTAATAATTGTCCATGTTGTCCATCACAGAATATATTAGGCCTGAAAAAGTCACTCGAAATGAAAGAAAATGTCAAGACTTTGACATATTCTGATGATGTGTGGCCATTCACATATCAGGATAGTACGAAACCTATGTTAACGGGCAGTTGTCAACACCATGCTTGCCACAGTTCTCTTCGCCTCATACAGATTTAATTCAGGCGATTTTAACAGCATTCCAGAATGCTTTGGTCATAACTGACAGTGTGGTGAGAGCAGGCTGCTAGCCGATTGGTTGACACTAATCTACGTTAATGTCTAGGTCACTAATATGGGCCGTGAGAAAATATGAACAAGGCTGTTTCAACAACCAATCACAGCAAACTTAAATGTGGACAAATATGATTCGCAGATAGATGGCTCTACTTTCCGAGAAATATCGAAAACAACCAATCATAAGACTGTGTTTGTCTGCTTAACTTCCGAGAAACAACCAATCAGAAGACTGCCTTTTTCTGCTTGCATAAGCCTTATTAATGCACATAAAATATATATAAATACGTGTTGATTTTCGTAATAAAACGATCTGTTGCCAGCCCTTGTCTTCTGTTGTTACATTTGGTGTCGCTGCCTCCAAAAAGATGAAGATCCCGTGGCCAGCTGCGTTTGAAGAAGGAGACATACGGAGCTTCTTACGTGACTTCGAGGCCGTTGCTGAGCTGGTGGGTGTCAAGGAGCAGGCGGCGAAGGCAGTTGTCCTGGGGACGCTGTTGAGAGGCCGAGCGAAGGCTGCATATGACAGCGTAGACAGGTCAAATGGCACAGCGTCTTGGAAGAAATTGGTTGAACGACTAGTGTCCGAGTTTGACAGCGAAACAGACAGACAGCTAGCAATGCAGCAGTTCCGGTCAATGAAGCTTGGACCTGATGGAGACCCGCTAGTGTTGGCGGTGAAACTGACTAATCTACTTCGACGCGCGCTTCCCACTTTAGATGAAGAATCAGAAGCGCAGTTACTGTCTTCCCAATTCATCGAGAGTGTCCCAGACCACATTTCTCAGCGATTACAACTGGTTAACGCAACGCAGCCGATGGATATTAGTGAGCTGGCGAAGGTGACCAGACAGCTGCTGAGCACAACGGTAGCCGCTATAGACCAACCAAAACCAAACGAATATGAGCAGAAAATTGAAGCATTGCAGCGGGAAGTGGCGGCGTTAAAGTTGGCTGATAGAAAAGACCGGTGTTTTGAATGCGGTAAGCCGGGACACTGGAGAAGATACTGCCCAGAAAGGCGAAAAAGAAAAAATTTCAGACGGTATAATGCTTGTTCTTTCTTTC